GAGAGATAAGGCGAGTGGGAAATGAGACACCCAAAGGAAAAAGAGCAAACAGTCAGTTTAGAGTGGACAATCCAGGAAAAGGCAGAGGGTAATAAATGAGGAGCCTGAGATGTGAGAATCTGGGGGAAATGAGTGTGACACCTGGAGAACTGAGAAGGGCTCTGCTTAACAGACTTCTTGGGTGCTAATTATTTCCTCTACCAGTGATGAGGCCCTGTGTTGGCTACCCTGTTCCCATAAGAAGGAGGTATTATATACATGCAGTCCATCCTTGGCTTCTGTGATCTGTGTGGTTTCTTTCAGGTTGTATACCAGGGTAGTCCTTATGCACCTCATAACTCCACGCTTTACCTTACCTACAAAACAGGAGTAGAGGTGGGATGCTGGGGGCTGTGCATCAATGCAATTTCTTCATCAGTCTATTCTTGTAAGTACCCAGGAATGTACTCCAACACTGTGTTTTGAAACAGCATTTAAACTGCTTTTTGCCATTGTCTAAAACAATAAAGCAATGCCAAATTAGCTTTTTTTTTTCACATTAAAACGTTACATTCTAAGCATTGTTATAAACTCGTATCTTACCATGAACAGTTCCTGACCACATGATGAGGAGTCACTCTGGGAGAAAGGCATTGTTCTGCATGTGAACTGACCCTGAACACTGAAAATCATCCTGAAATTAAATGCCAGACTAAAATGGATGCTATGGGTATAATTCTGAGATACTCTTTCACCTACGAGTGCTGTAGCTGTACGTTCTTAAAGGTCCCTCTGATGGCCTCTTTCCATCTGCATTACTCATAAAGGAACTCTTTCACAATACAGTAGAAGTTCTTGCCAGAAGCATGAACCTTGCTCTCTAAAATTCTGTGTAAATATCCTAGCACAGTTCCCGCACACAGATTTCACCAAAGCTCTTACTAAGGATTAAAAAAACTACTTGCGATTGGAAAATTCAGATGAGTAGCATTTTAGGGGCTGAACTGAGGATCTAAAAAAAGGCTTGAGGGAAATCTTTTCCCCTTTGGAGCTTAACTACAGGCATTTTTGTAGTGCCTTTCTCAGCTCAGACAGAGGTTAATGCCAAATGTTCGCATTATAATCAAACAGCGGAAATGTCTGAGGTTGTCAATGAGAAGCAGTTCTTCCAGAATGGTTGTTAACTACTTATTCTCTGGAGTTGGCTGTGCCAGAATAAGGCTATCCCCAGAGAAAGCAAGTATTCTTTGGCAAGTTTATACCTACAAGAATTTGAGGCAACTTCCAAAATCAGTAATATTTTCTCCTTCATTGCATTTTAGAAAATAAAAAAACTTAAAGGAACTCCCTGGTGAAATGTGACCTGTTTTGTTTTAGTGTTCTCAACATTTCCACTTTCTTTTCACAGATGTGCAGAAAATCCTTCTGCCATACATAGGATTAAAGGGACTTTATTTCATTGGATACCTACTTTTTGGATTGGGTACTGGATTAATTGGCCTGTTTCCCAATGTCCATTCGACTCTGGCTCTGTGTTCCCTCTTTGGTGTCATGTCCAGCACACTCTACACAGTGCCATTCCACCTCATTGCAGAGTATCACAGGGAAGAAGAGGTGAGTTCAGTGTCTAAGAAAGGATAAGTTTATACTCATTTGGATCTGTTTAGTCTGTTTTGGGAGAAAATTGGATAGAACTGGTGAGTAGCTTTTAATTTTAATTTCAAACTATTTATGATGACAAGTGTTGTGAATGGAAAGTTTCTGACAAAGAGAGTTAAGATCTCAGCTTCAAACTCTCCAGATGTTCCCGCAGTGAAACAAATAGTTATTTATCATCACAACTGAAACAAAGCCAATCACAGTATGAGTTCAGGCAGTAAGCAGGTAACAGAGCTCCACTTTGTGTTGCCTTCAAGTGCTACCTTCCTTATATCCTTCCTTGCAGCTGTACTCACTGAGGACTTGACTTCTGAGTTCCTAAGGTTAATAACCACACTGTAAAGGCTGTCAGAATTTTTAGTTAACTGCAAAGTGTTACAAAAGCTGAAATTCAAATACAAATAGTTTTGTATATTTCAGTATTAAATTATATACCATATTCTCATGATTACTCTAAATCTCTGAGGTTGATTTTTGGTCCTGTTTCCAAGGAAAATCTGGGAAAACTTGCATTCCTTATATCATGTTAATGGGCCTAGCAGGATCTTCTTGTCTTGTAAAGCGTTGAGCTCTTGAATGGAAAAGTTCTTTCAGGTCTCTTCGTGAGAGACCTGGAAACAAGAAGGATTAAGCAGAGTTGTGAGGACATAGGAAAAGTTCTCATTGTATCCGGGGATATTTGAATAAATTAATTTTAAAATGTTGAAACATTGAAAAACAACGTAGAAACATAGTTGAGACCAACACAGGGCTCGATCAAGTCCTTGAAAACATGTCCTACTGTTCTGTACAACTTTTTAGCATCACCATCTGAATGACAAATGCAAGAGAACGCTTAATTATTCTATTGAATCCTATGAGGATGTCTCAATGTGGTTAAATATTTCATAGATCTGATTCCTAATTTTTCAGTTATTTTCTCTGTTCCTTCCAACAGAGAACAATCATGATGAAGAGTTTTAGAAAGATATAACAAAGGACAGGTAATGAAACCCATTTTAGGGTGAGACCACAATCCTAACCTCAGGCCAGCCAACTCAGAGAGACTGAGTAAAGGCAAAATTGTAGTCTAGCTCTTATTCAGAGCTGTTGCAAGACAGAAGTGAAATAAAATATGCTGAAGTGTGTATGGACTTTATATTTAATATTCAAATGTTACTTGTAAGACAAGCAATTGTTTCTTGTTTGGTGTATGCTACTTGCTATGCCAGATGCTAAATGACATGTAATTCTATGTTAGATCTGATATTAACAGAGTTAGGTTTATCTCAAATCTATAATGTACAAAGTAGATAGCAAAAATAAAGAAGAAACAGCAAGATTACATTCATTTACACATTCATATAATTGTGGTCAGAACTGCTGGTATATAGGAACACTAGGCACAGCCCAGGAAAATAGATATAATTCCAAAAATATTGTGTCTAAAATTGGAAATGTTTCAGGTGAAAAGACTTATCATTCCAGAAAAGAGAGCAGATATTTTCCCTCCCTATGCATTCTACCAAAATCATGTGCTGGGTTTTAAAATGTCACCATTTAAACTCCTGTTCCGTGCTGCTGTTCCCTAGGATCCAAATTCGATTTTGTCTACTGGATTAGGAACAGACTGTTTGTCGCCAGTACTTTTGAGCTTTGTGTGGCAACAGCTCAATGGCAATGTAACAGGTCTTATGAAAAGCAAAAAACATCTTAATAGCTGAGAGCATTTGGCTACAAGATGACAGCAGCAACAGCTAGCCTACAGCAAGGAAAGCTCTTGCTTTAGACTAGAGAGCTCAGGCTAGGCTACAGCAACAGCTAGCCTACAGCAAGGAAAGCTCTTGTTTGTTACAAATCAGCCTTCTCCATTCAGTAGCCTATGCGAGAAGGACAGTAAATATGTAAACTATCACATAATTTCCCAATGAAACAGAGTAGTTCCTTCCTGGAGGGAATCACAGTACAGCTGAAGCTAGAAGAGACTTCCAGAGATCATGTAGTACAACACCCCTGCTCAGGCAGGGCCACTGGAGCAGGTTGCCCAGGGACTGGTCCAGTCTAGTTTGAGTATTTCCAAGGATACAGACTCTACAACCCCTCTGGTCAACCTGTTCCAGCAATCAACCACCCTCACAGGGTGCTTCTGTCAAAGATGCTTTTATATAATGAATGAAGCTTTTTGCTCTATGTACCATAGCAGTTACACAGATAATTAGTAGTTAATAATGGCCTTCTGTAATGTAGAAGAATCCTAATCTGGACATTTGTTTTCAGATTTTTTTAATTTTTTTTTTTTGCCTTGGCAATAAATGTATTAAATTTAGACTTTAGTCCTGAACTCCTTTATGTGCTGTAAGGCATAATTTCAGAGCACAGTGTTCCATTTTAACAAATATGATCCATATTTGTGTGAGACACAGTATGACTCATCTTAACATCCCTTTGAGGCTCTCCTTCAACCATGAGAGTTGGAGCTAGATTATCCATGATGGCATGTTCTGTACCATGAAATGTCAGTTTTCCAGAGCTCAAATAGACCTGAAATTCAAGAAAAAGGCTAATTTTTCTGATCAAGTTTCATTTCTTTCCTAGAGAGAAAGGATAGAGGGAAAAAATGCAGATGGGAGAAATGTGACAATGTAGGGGAAGCTTGGAAAACTCATTATCACTTGTAAAACCTCTGTTTGAATTCTGTAACCTCTGTGGGACAGGCAGAAAAAAACAGAAAGGAAGCAGAGAGTTGTTGACTTGTCTTGCTGCACCTGGGGGTCGTGACAGTGCATTGGCTGAGAGCTGCACGTTATCAGCACTGCCTCATTTCCCTGAGTTTTGTTTTGTGCTTATTTGCAGAGCCTGAAGCTGCAGGATGGAGAACAAGCTGGAGAGCACGATCGAGGGAAGGGCATTGACTGTGCTGCTCTCACCTGCATGGTCCAGCTGGCCCAGATCATTCTTGGTGTTGGTCTGGGGCTCTTGGTTAGTGTTGCTGGCAGCGCAGTCACTGTGATTTCGGCATCTATGGTGGCACTGATAGGCTGCTGCTTTGTCGCTTTTTGTGTTCGATATGTGGAGTAGGACTGTGTGAAGCACTTGAAAGGAATCTCCCCAGGGGAGCGTTTTCCTTCTGGGTCAGTAGCACTGGTGCTATGCTGATACTGCTGGCACATCCTCCTCTCTTACCTCCTCCAAGCAGTTGCAATTCCAGAGCTTTACAAAATGGAGACTTGATAAAACTGGTTGCCTAACTGCCTCAGATTGAAAGCTTCTCTATATTGACTGCTTTATTACTTCATTC